CTATCATACCTGGCTTCTTACTGTTCTTATTAACATTTAATCTTTGTATCCTTAAGTTTTGTTCTGTGTATCTTATGGGATATATTAGGAATAGAGTATTTGTCCATTTATACTATGTTTTATTGCTTTAATATTGGTATGAAATGTAAAAGATGTAAAAATACTGTCAAGTGGGCTTGACTTTGAGCATGGAAAGGGCTATGAGAATGACAGAGTGTTACTGGTTCTCAGTTATCCTCCTGGGAACTCTGAGTGTCAGGACCTCATGACTGTGATGCCACAATACTGTTATTGATCAACACAGCAAATCTCAGGTAAAGGCAAAGTGTTTCATGTCAGTGTGGTGCAGGATGGGCCAAAATGATTCATGGGAAGATGTAAATGACACAGCATCATGGGCTATGTCCTGAAACACATCCCACCATTTCTCATCTTGAATGTGTTCACTTTACTCTAAGTACAAGTGGGCAGAGGAACCTTGACCTTGTATTGGAAATCTCTGGGCAGTCCCTATGTCTAAATGGTGACTTCATGGCTGCCAAGTACACCTTCCCAGAAAAGAAAGGACTCCAAAGGCAATTGTAAATCATACAGCTCTCCTGGCCCAGTACTCTACAGTGTGCTAGGCCCATCATAGTAATGACCTTGGTACTTTCCTGAGTTAGGATTGAACAGAAACACCGGTATTTTTGTTGTTTTGATATTTAATTTTTACTTCCTTTTAAAAATGTTCTTGTAAGTATATATGTTTAATGTGTTCCCCTGACAGCCCCCACCTCCCCTAGACAGTTTCTCTTCTGCTTTCATGAATATATACTTCTGTGATTTTTCTGTAGCAATATAAAATGTAGGAACTACAAATGAGAGGCAACATGACATTTGTCTTTCTGCAAATAGCTTAATTCACTAACACAAGGATCTCTAGTTATGTCCATTCTCCTGCAAATGGAATAACCTATTTTTTTAAATGGCTGCAGAAACTTCCATACCTTCTGAATGGGTCTCTGGTCCCTCCAAGAATAATGCTAACAATGGAAACTCTTGTGCAACAAAGGAACAGTTAAACAAGTGAAGAGGCAAGCTACAGAACTTGAGAAATTATAGAGACATGCGCTAGTTTTTAGAAAGGGGAGAAGTACTAACATAACATTTCAGAACAGGTTTACAAGATTTAATTTGGGTATAGTGTGCACACATTTAATTCTAGCACTGAAGAGGCAGAGGCAGGAGGATCTCCCTGAATTCAAGGCCAGCTTGGTCTATTTGTGAGTTCTGTAGTAAAATATTGTCTCCAAACAATGTGTATTTTTATTTTTAAATTGTGTGTGTGTGTGTACACATGCACGCGTGCGACTATGTATGTGTGTGACTGTGTGTATCTGTGTGTGGGCATGTGCATGTGAACACTGGTGTCACTGTAGGCTGCAGGTATCACATCTGGAATGGGTGTTACAGGCAGTTATGAGCTGCCTGAGATAGGTGCAAGGAGCCAAACTCAGGTCCTCTGCAGGAGCAGTACACAGTACGTAATCTCTGCGCCACATCTCCAGCCCATTTTACAGTCTTAAAAGAGAGAGGCCTACATTCATCAGTTGTAATTAACAGTGACCCCCACTGAAAGCCAATGTCTCCACAGGAAATGACCTATGGGAAATGGGGCTTGGTTCACAAGGAAAAGGCTTGCGGGCGGGGGGGGGGGGGGAATAGCAGAGGTGTGCATGGAGGATATGGCAGGGAGCTAGTTGCCTGTAGACCATGCTGTCTTTTCTTCCGAGAAGGTCTGTGATGTTTCCCAGATGAACACTTGTATCTGACAACCATCAGGAGAAACTCATGATTGACATGTTTTTATGTTATTTTTTCTCTGCTTGACAAAGAAGATCTACTGGAATTGGCTAATTTACAAATGAAGGGTTTATTTTCCCTTGGGCTTGTGGACATAATTGTCTCCACTAACTGCAGTGGGAGCTCTGTGGTCTGAAGGAGAATGCACGGCTGTGCCAGTGCAGGGCTATGGAGTCCACAGACAGGAAATGTGAGGTCTGTTTCAATACCACCTTCTGCACTGTGGGCACAGGAGAGCTGTTGGAATGCACGCACGTTTTTCTCTATTGATGCTCTACAAAGAAATAGAACAGAAGCAAGTTTATCCAAGAACAGTTTTATGAGACCATTGAAAAGATTGAAGACTGTCCGAACCTCACCCTGCTCACTTTGCATTGAGTAATGTGGACTAGGATACTCATACTCTCACAATGGGAACTCCAACTTCTGCATCTTAGACCAATCTCAGTCTGCCCCTGGAAGGTCAGGCCAGCTAATAAAACCTTCTGGAACATTCAGAGGAGCAGCCTCATCTCCTAAGAAATGAATAGGAGTTGTTATCAGAGAAGCATTTCCTAGCTTCTTGTTTTGTTCTAAGAACATGTATCAGGAACATATAGGCATTTGAACAAAAATTGACACTCACAAGGAATTACAAAGCCAGCTTAATGAATGAATTCATCACCCCATGGCATGACATTCTCTGAAAATGACCAAAGGACTCTGAGCAAACAGACCTCTACTTGTAGTTTTAATTCACTCTCTAAGTATTGTCTTGCTCACTTTCTGGCACATATTTGACATTTGTTGAATGAAAGAATTCTCATTCATGGGAAGAGGGCTCAGTACGTAAAGTGCTTGTTATATAAGCACGGGGACCTTAGTTCAGTCTCCCAGAATCCACACAAAAAGCCAGGTATGGTAGTGGGTACTGGTAACCCCAGTACTGGGGAGGTGAAGACAGGGGAATCTCTGGAGGTTCTTGGCCATCCATTCTAGTGGAATTAGCAAGTTCAAGGTTCAGTGAGAAACTCTGTCTAAAAAAACTAAGGTGGAGAGTGACTAAGGAAGGCAGTTGAAATTGACCTCTGGCTTCTACATGCATAGACTCACATGTGAGTATGCTCACACATGGATGCATGGGCTCATGCACATACACATAATTCTCACCTATACCTTGAATTTTTTCTTTTGGCACAGATTCTTCCTTTCAGGACCCAATGACTATTTATTTTTAGCCAATAGGTTATGGATGGAAGTAGCAGCATTCCATAAGGACCAGTGTTTTCTTTCCTCTCCCTTAGTTCAGAATAAAAATGCACCACATTCCAGATGGTTTGGCTGATACGGCCCATTGTCAACGTTGGTCCTTGAGTCTACCTGAAGAATGAATGTCCCTGAGAAACCATTACCTGAGAAGGCTTTGCGCGAAGCAGATACAATCGTTGGCTTACATGATTGCAAATGTCTTGGGGATTTATTGTTACTATACCCTAGCCTAGCCTAACCTGACTAAGATAGTGAAATGCTATAAGAACCCAGAGAAAGGAAAGCTATCTATTGGGAAGAATGAAAAGAGAACTTTGGAATTGGTGATGAGTAGGATCATAAATGTGTTTGGGAGTTATTTAGACAGATGAGTGAAAGGGAGACTTCAATGTAGTGGAGACATCCCAGGCAGGGACTTGGGGACCCATGTACTGGGAATCCTATGCATGGATTTGTCTAGCTGCAGGGCTGTGTGTGACTAGGAAAACGGCATTTGTCAAACCTTGAGTTGAAATCACTGCTGCAGAATGTCTTCCCCATGAGCTGGCTGTGGCTGGCAGGAGACAGCAAGGGACTCAAGTGAAATGTCAGGGCTTTTCCTTAATCATGATAATCAGAGGCGAAATGAAGGCTTCCCTTTCCACTTTGGGCAGTCAGCCCTTGCTGTCAATGGATGCCATTTACAGGAATGGACACAGCCTGGTAAGATCTCTTAGACTCCTGCCTTTTGGCTCACAGAGTTCTCTTTAGAGAGACTGAACTTCAGAATCAGTGGTGTAAACAGGAATTATCCAGGCAGAATAAATAGGAGTGGGCTGATGCTACTTGAGTGTATATATTTATAGTCTTAAAAAAGGAAACCCAAAGATACCCTCAGTGCAGTGATGTATTTTACAGCAGATTTAGTTCTGCAGAGAGTGACAATGAGACCATTCTCCAGGCTGAATTATTTTTTTTAAATGTCTTCTCTGGGGATTACAAATTTCATATTAAAGTAGTGTATGCTGCTATAGAACTTGGATGCTTTGAGAAACTAACAGGCTAGAAAAGTACCCTTTCATCATCTTGAAAAATTAAAGTTTGCTTCCCCCTTTCTTTACATTTATTTTTAAGATGTGCTAATTAATATATGTTTTTTTTATATACTTTTTTGATTTTTTTTTCTAGACAGGCTTTCTCAATATGTGGTTTTATAACAGTTGAGTCTATAAACTCTTTTACTCATGGGCAGTAATAGGCTATTTTGAGGGGTATTTCTCTCAAAGCCAAGTGTAAATCAATGAGTCAATCTATTCAATTTCACAATGTATATTACAAGCGACCTATTCTGATTAAACAGGATTTAAGTACTTCAAATAGAGTTGCTAAAAATAGGATTTTGTCCCTTAAGAAACTTGCATTTGAGTGAGGAAAAGAGATAAACGAATATTTGAATATAACATTAGATGACATTCTGTCATTTATGAAACTATAAACCAGGAAAGTGATAAAGGCTTATGGGTTGACTGGCTGTGATGCTCTTGGTTGGAAAGTTTGCTACTTTGATAAGGTGATATCTACACAGAGACCTAAAGAAAGTGAAACTGAGTCCATATGATAGTTGTGAATTGGGGAGATACCCAAGTAGGAGGAGCAGGATACTCCTACCACCAGGTAGGAAGTGGGCTGTACTGGCCTATTTTAAAGATTAAAAAGAGAGACCAGTGTAATGGGACGAGCAAAGAATCAAGTGATATAAATTCAAAGTCATCAAGGGTCAGGTAGGGCTGGAATATCAATATATGAACTTGAGCTTTTACTTTGAGTGTTATGGGAGGCCTCTAGAAGTTTCCAAGAGGAGTGTGTAGTCTGCTTGCTATGGGTTTAAATATTACCCCACATATTACTTTTGTTGTTTAGATCAAATACCTGAAGAGGAGCAACTTGAGGAAGGAACAGTTGATTTGGGCTCAGTTTGAGGGGCTGCAACCCATCTTTGTTGGGGAAGGAATGATGGCAGGAGTGTGAGGTAGGTGGCCACATGGCATCTGCAGGAAGCAGAGAGAGATGAGTGTTTGGTACTCAGCCAACCCTCTTTTTTCCTTCAATCCCCAAATGGGGATTTACCCCATCAATGGTGTCATCCACACTCAAGGTGAGTTTCCCCTCTTTAGGAAAACCTGTCTGGAAACATTCTCATAGACGCACCCAGTGACATGCGTTCATGGTGATTCTAAATTAAGTCAAGTTGACGATGAAGATTAACCATTATACTTCCAAATTCACACACTAAGTATCTCCCCCAGTACTTTGAAATATGTCTTTTTATGAAGACTGGACCTTTAAAGATGTAACTAGCATAAAATGAGGTCCTATGAATAGACTCTGCTTCAATGAACCTATGTCTTCAAGAAGAAGTTAGAACACAGGCACACGCATGTGCAGAAGAAAGGCTGTGTGCAGCCAAAGGAAGGAGTCAGTCTCTTCCCTCCCTTGATCTTGGACTTCTAGAACATGAGAAAAAAAAATTCTGTTGTTCTAACTGCTTAGAAAGCTGTACTTTGTTAAGGGAGCCTGACCAGACTAAGACAATGAACTTCTGTAAGGTCAGGCCATTTTAGGACCAGCATGCAGAATGTGGAAGCAGAGCTTGAGACTCAGGCAGAGGTTGTTTACGTGGGCACACCCACGTAAAACTAGTGGGTCTGTGATAGGAGATGATATGGTGCAAAGTGGTTAGATCTGGAGTACATTCTGAAGCCACTCTTGGAGCAGTGGCTGGATATGAGACATAGACTTTGAAGCAACAAAGACAAGCTTGGTCCAAGGTGTTTTTGTTTTGTTTTGTTTGTTTGGGTCTGAACAATGAAGAAAATGAAGTTGTCACATACTGAGATGGAATGGACAGAGCGTGGTGCCAGGTCAAGAGGGGATGTGGGAGACAATGGGAAGTACGAGCTGCAGTTAGAAGGTGGAGGCAGGAAGCTAGCGCATTCAGAGCTAGTCTGGGATAGATAGAAAATTCCAGGCCCACCAGGGCTTTAAAATGAGACAGTATAACAAAGGCAACAGGCCCTGCCAAGCCTTCCTCCTCCAAATCCAGCAAGAATAATACAGAAGGGTGAGCTGTGAGAGTCAATGAATGAATAATCAGTGCCAGATGATGGGAAAGAGAAGAGCACCTGGCTGGCCATTATACAGGATGCTCACTGAACAAATGGATTTGGGGACTGTGGGTATTTAGTCCTGTTCTTCTTGACTTCCAGAGAGAATCCTAGCTATTTATACCTGAAAAAGTAAAAGCCACTGAAAACAATATTCATGCTACTACATGGACTTTGAGCCAGTCTGATGTCTATTTATTTAATTTTATAAATCATGACTCACAGTATATAAACACACACACTATATCATGGTTTTGAAGGAATTTTTCAGATGAGTTGAAACATGACCTGCCATTCAAGTTAAAACATGTTGGGTGTTCTTGGACCTGGAATATTCTTGGTTTGTTCCTTCTCTCCTAGTGAATTTAGTCCACAGTGTTCCTCGGTGTGTGTTTGTATGTGGACTGTCGGGAGTGCATCTTTTAAGGCCATACCTTATAGTGTGGTGGCTACTCAAGGGGTCCTGTCCCTGCATGGTGAGAACTTGCTCTAAGATCCACTGTGGCTCCTTGGAAGACAAAGGGCAGAGTGGAGAGATTTCAAAGTTCCATCCCCAGACACATTGATAGAAATTTTTGTAGACTGCATTTTTTCTAGCTGTGATTTTTCTCATTATTTAGATAATATATTAAAATTACAAAAAGTTGTCAAGACTGCTACAAAGATCTCCTGAATATTTCATACTTAGAGTTACAATTATTTACATTTTAGACTGTTCTGTGTGTATATTTACTTTCTCTGAATTATAGGTGATAGTTGAAGACATCATGCCCCTAGATATTTCAGCATACATTTCCTTACAAGTAAGTATTTTGTTACATTAAGATAACTATCATTTAAATAAAGTCTGGGAATTTCACATTAATGGAGCATATTATTATTCTAACCACAGTCCAGCTGTCTTCCATTTTCTTCAACGATGACAATGCTGCATTTTGTGGCCATTTTCTTCACAATCTGATCAGATCTAATGAATGCAGATGGCCTTTAATTGTCTCAGCCTGTTTCTCTTTGACATAGAACAGGTTTTCAGGTCTTTGCTTCTTGGCCTCAGCCTCATTGAAAAGCACTATCTGTCTAGTTGGATTGTGACTTTTTCCTATAACTAGATTCAACTAAATGGTAGGAACAGCACAGATGAGATGCCATGTTCTTCCCAGTGCAGCCTATCAGGTGACAGGTATTTCATTGATCCTGATGACAGTGACTTTGCTACACAGTGTAAGAAGTTTCTTTCCAGGTGTTTCCATTGTAAATCTACTGTTAGCCCTCTTGTGGTGAATAGTAACTTATGGGGTGATAATAGAAGGTGTATAAATAACATTTCTTCTCAAACTTTTTTTTTTTTTTTTGGTTTTTTCGAGACAGGGTTTCTCTGTGTAGCTTTGTGCCTTTCCTGGAGCTCACTTGGTAGCCCAGGCTGGCCTCGAACTCACAAAGATCCGCCTGCCTCTGCCTCCCGAGTGCTGGGATTAAAGGCGTGCGCCACCACGCCCGGCTGTTCTTCTCAAACTTTTACCTAATCATCTCAATTCCTATTGGTGAATTTCTGTGTTTTATTTTAGTAGAGTGAATTTTATTGGCTATAAATGACAAAAACAACTTCAAAATATTTGATTTAGGTGCATAAAGTTTATTGAACAGATCATGTAGGATTATTCCTCCCTAGAGGCATTCGTGATTTTCAGTGGATCATAACTAGGGTGCTTACACACTCAGGGCCCTCATTGATATCAATACCTTGACGAGCTAAAGCTCTGGGAAGTCATAAAACTAATGGACCTCTTGGGAAGGCTGGGATGTCTCTTTCAGCCATTACAAATACGTGGAGACCATCAAGCTGACAGAGCTGTGTGTTATGGGATGTATACCACTGACAGGAGTTCCTGATGTTTTAATAAGTGCCATAAAATCTGTCCCTGATAATAAGATTGGCTTGTTTTCATTTGCCTGCTCTTTTCAGAAGTGGAAAGCAGCAGCCTTCCAGTTGCTTGAGATAACATTTTATGTTCTGATACATTTATGTGTTGAGTAGGTAAATGTGAAAATGTACTTTCAGGCCTATTACATGATTTTCACGTTTTAGTGAACATGCATTGTGCTTTTTTTCCTACTCAGTTTTTCTGTGAATAACAACTGTGTGATACCATGCAAACCAAATTAAGGTCTAAATTATGTATGTGTTAAAATGGTAATTCATGCTAAATAGTGATATTATTGACCAAGAGTATTAGATTAATTCATAAAAGATGTCTTATGAATAGTAAAATTGTTTTGTCACTATTCAGCTAAATGGAAACAAAAAGCCTTCATAGTTCTGACTTTTCTCCGGGTCAACAGGTAATGAGGGAAAATCAGTCCTGTCCTTGAATGGTACCAGTCACTTTGGAGCAACCTTGGTCCAGTTGAGGATCCATTGATGAGTAGCCTTTCTCTGTCTGTCATAGACACTCATGCAGTACAGGAGCATCAGGGAGATGTCTCACTAAAGGACAAAACAAGCCCTGCCCAACATGGTCCAGTTCACCAGGACCCTTGGCAACAAAGGCTTTCCGCAGGACCACACAGAGTGGGGAACTGGCTTCTCTTTGCCCATTAATGTGGATGTGTCTGGAAGTCTCAAGCAGTTTTGCCAGGAGTAGCACAGAGGGGATGTGTGGCCTTCTCTGAGCATCATATCAGGGGACAGGTACCGAATTGCTCCTGTGCAGACTCAATGCTTCATCAGGTGAGATGCAGCATGAAACAAGTTCCAAAGTCAGGTTTGGGCATCTTCTCAAAGTAAGGATTCCTAGGAGGGTGTTTGTAGTAAACGGCATGGAAATGTAGAACGCCATCAGCATAGAGAGATGTGCTATTCTGATGATGGCCCAAGGATGTATCTTCTTGTACTACATGAGATATGGAAAGTATTTAATGGGAATGGGTACAATCAGACCTTGTGTTCATGCTTGGTCACGTCTTGAAAGATTCTTGGTTTCTTAGCATGGACTGAAAGTTGCTGAGTCTTTGCATGCCTCTGGACACTTGGACCTGACTGGGGGTAGAGAGGGAATGAAGAAAAGATAGATACAGACAGACACACAGAAAAGCTGGATTTAGGTGGATGGGGCTCTCTGTTGGAGAAACCTCAGCATCTTGGAAGCTTAGAATGTTATTATACTGAATTGAATCAGGAGGTTGGGCTATTACATACTGGACAAGGAGGCAGCATTATAACATTCAGCAAATACAAGGCAGGGTCTATGGTATATAGCTGGATCAGGGAGGTAGTTTTAGCTAACTCTGTATGAGAAGTCTTCAAACTATAAACATCCTAGAGGAGAAAGCTATGGTGGACATGTTGTACACAGACTATCAACACTTGGGCTTGGTCCCCTGAGGTAAGCTTTGGCATTTCCCTCTGGACCTCATCCCAGGGGGAACACTTTGCCATTCTCCATGGGTGTGAGGCTCTGGGGCCTTTGACATTGCCATGCTTGAGTCAACAGCACACATTGATCCAGGCCTTTACTTTCTCAGGGCTCCCTGCACTTCCTATAGAATATCATCACCAGCTTCAACTGAATATTACCGCATCATGAACGATTTCCTTCTGATATGCCTCCTTCTGACTGGGCTATTTTGAGGATCAGCAAATCCAGTACAATGTGAGGTAGGAGTCTGTAGTAGTTGATATATGTATAGCTGTTGTTGAATAGTCAATAGGATAAATATATTCTTTTTTCCATATGTACATATTTTCTTGGTAAAAGTCTCAGTAATTACAAGAACTAAGTTATAGTTTAATCACTATAACTAAATTATAATTTAATCCCACAGTAATTTCTTTATGTAAAACCAGACAAGGTGTTTGATAGATCCAAAATGCAATCTTCATTCTCTTTGGGACGACATTCATGGAGCTAGGAGAGTCTGGTTGTTGTAGCATTGGTTGGCCCCACATAGACTGCACCCCTTTGCTGCTTGTTCATTGAACTCATGGGCTAATAGGTCACTGTTTTATTAAGTGGTAGGGTTTATGGATGGCTAGATGGTCAATAACATTGACCGCTCATGCATCAAATAACTAAGTCAAATAAAACCTACACAAGGTAGGCTAACCATTGCATATAAAGTAATTTCCCCAGATACTTTGACTGCTGAAATTTATTTTTCTAGACCCCAGATTATTCTGGACTTCATGGTGGTAGCAGTGGGTGCTGGTGGTATACCATAACAAATACACTAATGCCTGTAGCTGGGCATTTGTGAGTTTCTGTCACCAAAGAGATGGTATGGGAAATGCCAAGTTTAGTAAGCTGATCATTCCCCAAGGGCTTGCTACAAGGCATTTCTGGATCTTCCTGGACTCCAACAAAAGAGCTGATTCCCACAGAACATTAACTGTTTCAGTACAATGTTCTCACTGGCAGTTTGCCCTACAGATGAACTGGCTAGTTCTCAGAAATGGAGTTAGTTAGTTAACAAAATACCTGAGATAATCAAATTAGAAAGAAAAAAAAAAAGGTTTATTTTGTTTAATTGTCTTTTAGTTTGGGAGGTTTCAGCTTGTGTTCACTTGGCCCTGTTCTTTGGGCCTGTGATAAAGTTCGACACCATGGTCGGAGCACATAGAGAAGAGGCATCCAGGAAGCAAAAACTAGAGAAGGCTGCAATCTCAACTCCCTCTTCATTGGCATTATATGCCCCCCATTTCGATAGACTCCACCTCTTAAAGGTTCTACTCCCTCCTAAGCCTTTATCACTCAGGCCTTTGGTGGACACTTAACCAACCAAGTGGAGACTTTTTTTTTTTAACCTACTTTGTATGACAAGATCAAAGACAGGAAATCAGAAAAATAGAATTCCCACCAAACCTGTTGCTAACTTTAGTTTCAGATATCATAACAAAGATACTATTATCTACCACTCATAAAATGCCTGTGTTATGTGAAGTTTTGGCTATCATTTCCATACACATTGTCTTGGATGTTTGAAACCATAGGCCAGTGTTTCTCAACTTTCCTAATGCTGTGACCCTTTAATACAGTTCCTCATGTTGTGGTGACCCTCAATCATCAAATTGTTTTTCATTGCTAATTCCATAATTGTAATTTTGATATTGTTATGAATCACAATGTAAATATATGATATGCAGGATATCTGGTATGGGACCCCTGTGAAAGGGTCATTCAACCTCCAAAGGCTGAGAACCTCTGCTACAGGCAGTTATGGTCTTTGTTCAATAGACGAGTTGGGCGTGGAATATAAAGTGATAAGGCTGAAATTAAAAGTGAATCAGATTGCCCTCAATAAACTTTAGCACAGCAGAATGAGCCAAAGGCAGTGATTCAGGTTGCAGTAAGCCAACTTCCCTGTGACATATTTAAAAACATGTGCACATCCATTGTACAGAAATGATGGGGTTTCACTTGTATTTTCATTTCTGTGTGTCAGACACTTTGCTCCTACTCACCTCCTATTATCCTCTCTTGTCAATCTCCCCACCTCTGCTAGAACCCCTCCTCCTCCCAAATTATCCCCCTTCTAGATCTCACATTAGAGAAAACATGACATTTTCTTTCCTAGTCTGGCTTATTTTGCTTACGATAATGATCTCCACTTCCATTCACCTCTTGCAAATGATGTAATTTCATTCTTCTTATTGGCTCATGAAATTATGTTGTCTATACTTACACATTTCCTTTAATCCTTTCCCGTTGGTGGGCAAGATTCTATGCCTTGGCTATTGTGAACACTGAAGTGATAATCATGGGTGTTCGGGTGTTTCTGTTGTACGCATGCCTGTATCCCTTCATCTACTTACCCAGGACTATGACACTTTTCCTAGGTTTAAATCTAAGATGAGCCTATGGAAAGAGAATGCTGACTTAGAGGGACATTGTTCCACCAACTTCTGTGTCCCAAGGAGGACAATGGATATTACTTGTGTAGAGTTTAGTACATGATAGTCATTATTCCAAGCTCTTGGGTATATAAGTATGCCATTAATCCTTAGTGTAGACTGCTGAGACACTATTATACTTCTCTGTAACCTACTTAGTTAGATAACAGTTTCCTGAATGCTAAAAATGTTCTTCCAACTCTATTGAAATATAATTAACAAATGGTGTTCATTATATATCCAAGGTATACAACATAGCTATTTATACATTCCTATCTATGTATCTATGTACAGATGATGCTAAGTTATTACCATATGCCAGCTATTTAACCCATCCATCACCTTGTGGTTGTCTCTCTCTGTGTCAGAATGTGAGTGGTGAGGATAGTTTTGAGCTATTTTCTGGGCAAATTTCAAATATACACTAGATCTCTGGAACTTACTCATCTTGTAAGTGAAAGTGGGCACCCTTTGACTCATGTCCCTGGGCTCTTTCACTCTTCCCATTCTCTCCCCTCTATTCGTAGCACTCACTGTTCCACTTTCTGCTTCTGTGAGTTCCACTTGTTTAGATTCCACATATAAAAGAGGTCATACCGTGCCTGTGTTTCTTCGTGTGGCTTATTTCACTTACTGTTACATCCTCTGTGCTCATCCACATTACTGCAAATAGCGGGATTTCCTTCTTTTTATGCCTGAGTCATATTCCATGATATATTACATACTGCATTTTCTATATCCATTAATGATACCTAGGGTCACTTATCTCTATATCTCATTATTATGAATAATGCTTTGGCTCTTCACACTACAGCCGAGGCACACTGAAATCTGACAGGAGTGAAAGCAGCACTTTTTAAATATTCACTGTTTCTATAAAATCCCATTTGTCCAAATAGCTTGCTGTCTAGTAAAATCTGGAACAACTCTTTAGCATGTTTTGCTGAATTAACATTAGCATATCTTAATCACAATGGCAATTTTTGTTGAAGCGATTTATAGAAATGTCTAGCTGAAAGCTTTTCAGGAAACCTCTGAAAAGCCTCCAGCTTTGTCTAGGTCAGGTTCTCAGAGCAGTCTGAGGGAAGCCACTGTATCTGAGCTGCCTGCTTGACATCTGAAAGATTGAGCAGAGAGAAACGTTGCTGTAAATAAAACTTAGAGAAAGCATCTTTGAAACTGTATAAAGGGAGCAGACAGACGTCGCAAGGCTCCTGATGAAATGTGCAGTTAGAGCTACAGTCAAATGTCAGTGAGATTTCTGAGGAAGATTAAGAAGCCTGCAGTAGTTCGCCTTCCAGTGAGATATGTAATAAGTTATTGATTTGCATAAAACAATATAGAGCTTTGTGAGAAACAGCGATTTAGAAAAATCACTATGGTCCACCAGCTAAAGAAATCAAAATATTGTTAATAACTACCATAAAATCTTCTGCAATTTTTTTACTGTTCCAGTAATGCATGTCCTTGTAGGAAAGAAAAAAATTTGCCAGAAAATTCAAATAAACAAGAACAGTTTGAGTTGACCAGAACCTCATGACTCAGACAGAATCTTGGGCGGTGGTTGTTTTTCATGGTTCTGTTTCCAAAGCCATCTGTGTTTCTGATACAGGCTAGCAACTGTGTGATTGGCTTTGCCTGTTTACCCTTGCCAGTCAGGTAGTATCCTGATTTCTAGTCACTTCCACCAGTCCTGATCAAGGTGGGATGGATGGGTCACTTTTTGTCTAAGTAGTAGGAAAAGAAATGAGGATACAAAGGATTGGAACTTAAGGATGACTGAATGAGAAACATGTTGCCACCCATAATGCCAAACCACAAACCCCAGAACAAAGCTAGGAAAAGAGGCAGTCCAGAATGTCCAAGTTCCCATTGCTGGTGTTGAAAACAGGAGTTTGTTTTGATGAGTCTGCAGTTTGGTACAATATCTCTTTGTCTCCATCTTAACTCAGCATCTTCCTTGTTTCCAGTCACAGGTCGTCAGGGAAAAGGTTTCCTTCCTGCTTAGGAATGTCTCCACCTAAACTAAATCTTTGGTGTTATGATCAAAGAGAATTAGGAGAAAATATATTGTAGCATCTGGTGTTCTGTTTACCTTTCATTTTTCTTAGTGACAGTTGAGGGAAGTAAGGGACATTTGGGAGCTGGGAAGTAAAGAGGTATGCACTCAAGGGAATGGAATGATGGGTAAAATTACAGAAATAATGCATATACTGAAATAAGAGGGACCAGGAGGCAAAATATGAGGTTTTGCCCCCAGAGAACTCAGGTGAACGTAGTTCCTTCCTCAGGTCTCTGAACACACAAATAATTGTTGGTGTAGATTGTATTGGCATACATCTACAATCAAAGCACTTGGGAGGTAGAGACAGGATTGTCAGGGTGAGGCCAACTTGGCTATATAGTAAGACCCTGTCTTAAACAAATAAGCAAACAATTATGACAGTGTTGATTGCATAACACAGTATGTACTTTAGTTTTGAGTATAGTATTGGTTTTTCTTGTGATACAATTTCCATTTTATTTTTGTCTTATGATCTATGACCACCATCTCCCCCACCAGTTATTCTTTATTAATTACCAAATCTAAATATCCTATGATTTTTGTAGTCTTTAATCTTGTTCCCCATAGTATAAGCATATTTATTAGTAAATATTCTTATTTCCTGATGATCCACAGAAATCAGCCAACACTTTACAGTTTACCATGGTATGTCAGGGATGAAAAATAGGCTTTCAGCTACTTAAAAAAAAGAGGCCCA